ATTTTATGGCTTGTCCTTTATTTATTGATTTGTAAATTTTTTTGATGTTATAGACATTTCCTTCTGTTTTTTAAAGCGGAAATAACCACTGACATTCCTTGAGCAAAATGTATTGCTGTGAATTTATAAACGAGAAATCCGAACCCAAACTCAACATTGTGGGTTACATCGCCAGCTGCGTAGGTCGCTATCTTAACGAGTAATCCAAGAATCCCACTTAGTTCCAGATGCTCCACTTTTTTAAATATCCTGATAACCAGTAAGTTAGAGCTACCGTCGGTGGGTCTCACCTTTTCCCCTATTTTTGTCAATCCCACACCCACAGGAAGAGTCTGAAAGAAACGCAAACTGATAACAAAAGTATCTCACAGGACAAACTTAAGGATGTATTTTTTCAAAATATCTAAAGAGGCACAGTTTTAGTGCTTCGTATGCAAACGGCGGCCTTTGCCATCTGCCGGGAATGAAACTTCCAGTCTATATCAAGGCAACGGTGTTACCAGTAAGGCGAGAAAAACGAAACATGTGGAGGTGTCTCCAGCTTAAAATTTTAAGTGTAAAGAAGTGTTTGGTTCTTGGAATGCAGCAGTAGGCCTTTTCTACACCATTTCTTACAGCTTCTCACCCACACGCGATGCTCACCGGGGGGATCACAGGTAGCGAGGAAGCCGGCGACCAGGCCTGGGTTGGGTTTTCCGACCGGGCCTGGGCCGGGTTTTCCGACCGGGTCCGGGTTGGGTTTTCGGAAAGAGCAGCGGGCGGTGCTTGGAGGCGAGAGCCTCACCTCAGCACCTGCTTCTGCAGGACAGGGGCCCAGCTTCCCAGAGCCCCAACCTCCCAGAGCTTAGGGATTTCAGCTGAAACCAGCAGAACTGAAAACCGTGGCAATAAAATAACAGATTCGACTACATCCCTTCTGGCAATTTCCTCCCCAGAGAGGGGAGTGGGAGCCCAGTGCTGCCTTCCCCACTTCCCACCGCCGCCCCTCAGGACGCTCCAGGCTCCGGCCGGTTTCCGGGGAGAAAGGCGGGCTGGTTTCAGCGCTCTGACCATCAGAACAAAACTGCAGCATTTCAGGTGCAGCGTGAGATTTCCTAATCTTTCCTACTTCTTAACAAAAGATTTTAAAGGACTTCTCGAGTCATTGAGGTTTTTGTTCTTTACATAAATCTTGATATATTGTTTTTCTACTCAAAGTGCCAAAGGCTACAGTTTTTAAAGACTTAAATTGTACCACATTGTTAAGGAAATAAAATGATAGCCGCTAGAACTCAGACCTCTGCATGTATATTTGATAACACATCTTTTGTAAAAATAAATAATAATAATTACAAAAAGTTTGTTTACATTCCACTGGTACCTTAATTTAAAATGAGAGAGGCTAACAGGTGGTATCTCTTCTTAGTGTTCTATTTATCTCACTTGCTAACGAGAGCACTTCTCCCTTGGTTAGGCTGTGCTTTACGGATGAAACCAAGTATTGAATAAAGAGAGTTAATTATCTTTTTAAAGTAAATAAAGTTATGGAAATATATATAATATATATATATAAAGTATCGTGTTTAATAAAATGTTACAGTGTTTTCCAAACTGATCCAGTTTGTAAAGTGCTACAATGTATTTTGTTAAGTACAGATCGAAGCTATTGTGTGAGTATATCGTGCTAACATCATAGAAATAAAGATTCGATTTCTTCATCAAAATTGGAACATTTGGGGTTTTTTTTTAACTTCAGAGTACGTGCGAATGGATAATAACTTGGCTTATAAGAAAACAAACGAAGAAATAAGAATGAATCAGAACTGATTGTGCTCATAATGGTTGAGAAGAAAGATTGTTGCGCTAGGAAAGGAAAGAACGTTTCTCAGACTATGAGCAGAGCAGCTCCCGGGGGCCTCGCCAGCTCACAGACCCTTCACAGCATGACCCGCAGCCCTACCCTCCACTCCCTTTCCACCCCACCTACGGCTGCCACAGGCTGTGCTTCTCCGTGTGTGCGTGTGTGTATGCATGTGCATGTGTGCGTGTGCGTGTGTGTGTGCGTGTGTGTGCATCTGTGGTTTATTTTCAACTCTCTTCCTACAAAGTCTTCGCTCCCCTTTTTCAGTCTCCTTTGTCCCTCGAGGCTAAATCTCAATCTTCCCTTGCACAACTTTAGAGCTGGAAGGATTTGAGAAATCACTTATCCTTTTAAGTATAATCACTATCATACCTTACATTTCACACATGAGAAAAGCAACACACATGAGAAGTGAGTTACTCAAAGTCACACAATTGGTAGGTGTCAGGAGGGCATTGGGGGCAGTAAAGAAGTACCTTCTGTTCATTATTAAATCCCTACTATTTAGCATGTTGCCCACCACATCAGTTGGAAACTCAATAAACTTCTGGAATGAATGAATGAATGAATGAATGAATGAATGAATGAATGAAAAGTATTTTGACACCAGAATGGGTACATTTTTCAAAAAAAGCTAACCTAGCTCTCCCTTTTGAGAATATTTACAGATCTTTATTCTGCATGACCAAAGGATTCACTTAATCTTAAAGTTTGCACTATTAACCAACTTGATTAACAAGCCATTGAATATTTATTTACCTCACACTAAATTGTAAGATCTATATAAGCAGCTCCTAGCACAAGAGGTGCTCAATAAAAATGAGAAAAATTGCGTGTGTACAGAATGTTCTATCTACCACAAGTAAAAACATTATGAAAACAAGTGAATAACACTTTATTGCATAAAGCAAAGTATGAAGGATCTGCAAGGGAAGGAAACAGCCGTCCCTTTGATCACACCCTGACGCGCGGTTCTCAGAAACCCCCTCCGAGGCTCGAGAGCCAGACCCATGCTACTTGGATGTTTTTTCTTTTTCTTATTTGAAGCATCTCTTAAAAATGTTGACGTGATGCACGCCAGATTTTTTGGAACAAACTGTCTCCTCACAGTGATTGTTTGTTCAAGTGTCCCCGCCTCCACAGTCGTCTCTGGAGGGGGTGCCAATAACAAGTACCGACTTAATCTGTCATTTTTTAAAAAGGGCTCTTTCTAGTCAGCATTCACAGTTATTTTCAAACTCAAAATCAGAGAGTAGAGTCCGGGGACCCCAGCGATGTCTTTGTATCGAGCACATCCCCTGGCCTCTTACTCCCGCGCAGTAACCCCTAGACTGTCACGGCAGCTTTCGGGGCTGTGCAGATTCTGCCCCTTCTCTGCCGGCCACCACCACGGCCAGGGGACGCGGGCGCTGAGTGCCGGGCTGGGGCGGAGGAAAACCGAGGAGAGGGTCCCGTTCCGGCTCCGGCCCTTTGTTCCCCACCCCAGCACATATATGACTCTACATAGACGTGGCCAAGTAACCTCAGGAAATCACTAACACAGGAGGAAAGCACATTAAAACTGTGTGCTGAAATTAACTTCCTACAGTTAAAGA